AGAGGTGAGATTATTCTTTTTCTCGATGTTTGCGTTTTTTTTTTTTTTTTTTTTTTTTTTTTGCGTTTCAACAATTTATCTATTTTTGCATCTGCAAATATAGCAGGTGTCAAGAACGCGCCGCGAGATGCGATCCGATTCCGTAACATTTAATTTCTCACCGAGTTCACGTGACGTTATTTGGCGGGCTTTTCACGCCGTCATTCGCTTCGTCGTTTATTTCGTCGTTGTTCCGTGTGATAATTTAACATTTTTATAATTTCTGTAATATTCGCGCGCTTTAAACGATATGTAACAATTTTTTTTCTTATATTTTAATATTTTTTTAAACAATTAAGACTAATAAATGAAACAAATTTCGGGTAGTAAGAGCCGTTTGCAGGATGTTATGCAGAATGTGCTTAAATATATGTATATGTATACATATACGATGAAATAATTTTTTTCCTCCATATTTTCGCAATATTTTAAAATTAGTTAGGGGGGTATACGGGGTCCCTCTATATATACGTGATGCAAATCCCGCATCCTATATGGAGGAAAAAAAAAAACAAAAAATTATTTTATCTTATATGTATACATATACATATATTTAAGCACATTCTGCATAACATCCTGCAAACGGCTCTTACTACCCGAAATTTGTTTCATTTATTAGTTTAAAGACTTCAGAGCCCGAAGAAATCTTCTTCTTGTTCATTATTAATTTAAAATTAAGACTAATATTTAATATTTTTTTATCAGTTCTATTGTGAATGTGTTGATTTGTTTTGAGTCTTTCACATATTAAGTGACAAGATCCGAATGATTGTTTTCAGAAGCAGCTACGAGAAATCAGCGGTTCGCTTCCAATCACCGGCGAGGACTTTTTCCGTGAAAGGAGTGCCACGATCGAGATGACCTCGCAAAACATCGAATTACTGAATCGTCGTAATGAGAAGAGAACGGGCAGCGTGTCGACGTCCAATAGCACGATATCTACGTATTCTGTGAACACCACGACATCGTCGGTCGCAACGACGACGACGACCTGCGACAACGGTTGGTCCAGAGGACACGAGACGCAGAATTCAATAGAGGCTACTATCTTCTCCGACAGACCGCCACCGCCGACGAGCTCGCCACCTAGATCGCCGAACAACGTCGAGATCGCGAGTTTACGAGGAGCCGTTCCAAAACGATCCGGAAGTTGCTCGAGCTCGTCTTCCTCGGGCAGATCGATCGACGCCTGCGTGTCGCCTCGAGTTTTGCTGTCCAGATCACCTCCTAAAAGTTCATCGGACTCGCGTAACGAAGCTCGAATAGAATGTGTCTCCATTAACAGAAAAGTCTCCAGTCCGACTCAAACGGACAACACGGGTTCCTGGAACAGATCCGGCTCGCCGAGTCGGCTGAGTCAGACGAGCGAGACGGAATCGCAAGTCGAGAGATCCTCCGTGTCCTCGAAGTTCCGACTGAGCGGCAGATCGTCCGCTTCTTCGATCTCAAGCGTTTCCAAAGCTTCTTCCTCCTCTTCACCGAGAAATTCGCCGGTCGAGGAGGACAAGTTGTCGCCTATGTCGTCGCTCTGCGTGTCGCCTCAGCCCGGCATCGAAGGACTAACGCTGATGCAGCGTACCGAAGTCGTGCTCATAGTGAACACTAGTACAAGCGATGCGGCCTCGCAGACCGACAATCCAGAGAATACGGAACAAGACGGCAAGATCCAGCGGCCGCTTCCGGAATCTCGAAAGAAATTGCCGGAAGAGATCGAGTGCGAGGAGCTCAGCAAAGACTTGGCCAGTCAACTCAGTCCCAACGACAAGCTGGTGCCTATACTCGGTGAGCGATGATCTTTCTATTTTTTTTTTGTTTCTCAATTGCGCGAGAACGAAGCCGAGCGTCGGGAATTACTCCACGTCATCGACAAACGCCGTTGCAGTTGATTCAATTAGATACGTTATTCAATTTTTAAACAGCACTTGCCGAGCAGAACTCGCGCTGACAGTATATACTATCTAGTCGGCTTTATACACTCGCTTCACGCACACGTGAAACGGAAACGTTAAACCGCGCGGTGTCTTGTGTGCGCGAACAGTGTCACGTACACGCTCTCGCGCGCGCGCGCGCGAGCGCGCAATTATCATCTGGGATAGAATGGAGGGCAGAGCTTCGAGGGCGATGACCTCTATTTTAATAAGCGCTAACTTAATCAGCGACACGACCGCGTTATTCAATTACGTGTCGTCGTCGCCGCGATATTCGATGCAATTCTCTGTTGCTTTACGGCTTCCACGAAGATCCGCGAAGCGTGAAACGAAGCGTGCGAGGAGGGAAACTAGCGCATGTGATGATGTCTTTTTTTTGTTTACTTGTTCCTTATCAGTTCCAGCGCCGGAGCACAAGAAACCCACCGACTACGTTTCCGGCCTGTTCAGGGTGGAGGCGACCTTGCAGCCAAGGCGACCAAGGCGACAGCTCTCCCTGGAGGAGTCAACGGCCTCCTGCGGCGAGGACGCGGACACGGACGATAAAAAGTAAGTTTTCTTTCAATTGAGTGTTTGCGCTTAATTAAGACGTTAAGTTTCGCGAGGCGAGATATCATACGGCAACATCGGACCGCGTTGTCGTCATTCAGCTACGTCAACAAGGGTCAGCAAGATTTTTTTCTTACAACCGAGACAGATAAAACGACGTAAATACAGACTAAATGCGATAATTGATGGGTTTCGCGTGCTCGCGAGCATTGGATCACGTGTTAATTATCAAGTCGCACGCTTTGTGAAATCCAAAGGTGTTCATTATACGAGCGCAAATTCTCTTCATTCGACTTAATTGGTTCGCGTTACATTTGCATGTGTATTTATATATATATATATATAAACATATGTATAAGAAAGAAGCATATCTTATAATATTAATTCATAATAAATAATTAATAATTAATAAATAATAATTAATAATAAACAAATAGATAATAAACATGTAAGAAAGAAGAGGCTTCTTGCTCGGTTTTTCACGCGATTGTCATTTAAATTTTTTTTTGATCACGCGTTCTGTACGGTAGCAAGTGAATAAGCTCAAGAATTTAATTTTTTCGCGGCAGAAAACCCAAACCGTGTTACCGTGTGCGCGACATTCCGCGAAAAAAAAGATTGTGGCACGTGTCCGAGGATCATACCTCCAACCAGATGATTCTTTGTACTTTTCTTTACATGCTTGCCCAAACCTAACTCAATCTGACCGCTCTTGCAATCTCTCTTGCTCGTTTAAGAACAACATTTCCTCCAGCGCGCGCGCGCGCGAAGAGAAAGTGCCAAAGCATCGAGGCTGTTACGTAATCCACCATAAATGATATTGTCAAGTCCAACTGCTCGGCGCTTGTGCATATTATTTGCCAGTCTCCGACGTACGATCGAAAATGACGCATCGTGCAGGCGACGCGCGCGAGACACGCTCGCAAGTCGGACGGGAAATGGAAATGGGATTCCCAGAAAAGTAGATACGACCTCTTATATCTTGTTTTTTTTTTCTTTTTTTTTTTTTTTGTACCGCTAACGCGCGCGTTCATCGACATGACATAGGGAACTTCTCGCGTGTGCCACATAATACGCGATTGTCAAAATTTCACGTGCCGAACGAGCGCGCCCGAATAACGCAGTAAAATTATCGTTGTCAGTAATAATAATCGGAGAATCGGCCGAAAATCACTGAGGAAATATTAACGCATTATGATAAATTAGTTATGGTCGTACACACGCGCGAACTTTCTATCATGTTTCACAGGAGGAAAGATGAAAAATCGCGACGCTTTCGAAAACAACTTTTAGACACAGCGATGAGAATGCCCGACAATTTCGTACGCGAGCAACACGTACATGCAAACGATGATTAATAAACTTATTATTATTGGGTTATATTTGCATCCTTGTTTCTTATATATATATATATACATTTCGATTTTTAATTGATCTTCCGGTGTAATTTCCAGCAATTCGCACAATCGAGCGATTTTTTTTTTTTTTTGCAAACATATACGCCGCTTTCCGTTCTTTCGTCGCTTTCACCTCTTTTATAGACTTGCTCGAACGAACTTGGGATCACGCGCGCACGGTCGATCGACTGATAAAAATAGTTTATGCGGAACAAACATCGAGTTGCTTCACGTGAACTTCTCGGGGAATCTCGGGGCTCGTGCGTATTGCTTCTTATTCATGAAATGACTCAAATGTAAACTTATGCGCCGCGAGATATTCTTCTCGGCGCAATTCGCTCGCAAATCGTGCTCATGCCTCGCCTCGAAAACGCGAGGGGATTAATTCAATCGTGACTCACACTCATTGACGCAATCCCCGTTTGCCCTCTCTCAAACAACGACAATTATATAGGAATATTTTTTCACTTTCTGAGATGCCGCGAGAGAGAGAGAGAGAGAGAGAGAGAGAGGAGAGAGGAAAAGGACGTATTAACCAACGGCCGGAGGTGTAATCATCGCGATATATTTTTTTTTTCAGACACGAAACGATACCCTCGGCTCCCTTCACGCCACTCTCGGCCGATCCTATCAGCCCCCTGTCCCCCACGTCGGCTTACTTCACGATATCCGAGGGAAAGGCGAGGTTCCTGACGAGATACACGCGGGACGTCACGGCAGAGAGATTAACATGTCAGGAGGATGCGCCGACGGTCGAACCAACGAACAGCCTTGACCTCAGGCAGAAAAAGGTATGTCCGCATAGGAGAAACCGAGTAATCAAACGCTTGTTGGCGCTGTGCTATAATTAACTCTTCGCGGTTTGTAAAGTGTGTGTGTGTGTGTGTGTGTGTTTGTATGCGCCTGCGACTAAATTCGATCGGCATGCGGGACTTCTGCGCGCGAGGTCGGATAATAATGATTACTCGCAGATAAGACTCGGTAATAAGTATCCGTTTCATCCACGGTCGAACACAATCTGGACTTATGTAAAATATAATTACCGCGCTTTGGAATGTTATCGTATCATTGAATCTCTTAAGCTTGGGTTCTTACCTAACTGTTTTGTTCGCTTGGTTGTATCTCGACGATCAGATATTCTGTAAGTGTTTTTCTCGCGTTGTCGAATCTCGGGGCAAAAAATACAGGCGTGTTCTTTTCTTTTTTTTTTTTTTTTTCTATCACCATACGTCGGCTTACGTTCTGGAACCATAAATCTTTTCAGGAGGAGCTGATGATGCGACTCGACAGGAAGCTGCAGGTCCTCAGAGCCGAGCAGGAGACCGTGAAAGAGGAGGGTGAGGCGAACGAGGCTCTCGGTGCGCGAGTCGCCGCGCGTGTTTCCTCCGTGGCTCGTCCACCGGAAGCGTCCAAGTATCGGAATCACGTGGAGGAAGTCGGCAAGATTACGAGCCTTCTTCTCGGTCTCAGCGGCAGGTTGGCTCGAGCTGAGAACGTCCTTTATGGAATGCCGGCCGACCACGCGGAGAGAGTAAGTGCACCAACACTTTTTGTTTATTTGCGTGCTTTCGTCGTCAGTTAAAAATTATCAATCAGTCGTCGTTTGCTTTAAGTAGTAAATTTAATCTTTGAATAATAATTTATAGATTTTTTTTTTTTTTTTTAATAAACAATGTCATGCGTGTTTTTTCCTCTAAACTTTATTTTGAGAGACATAAATATATCGCGCGTATATTCATGTTTTCTGCGTAGAAAATTTTGGAGAGTAAACGGGACAAACTGATGGATCAATTGGAAGAAGCGAAGACATTGAAGAATAATATCGACAAGCGCAGCGTAAACGTGTCGGCAATCCTAGCGAAGTACCTGAACGAAGAGGAATTTGCTGACTACCAGCATTTCATTAATATGAAGGCAAAATTGATAGTGGACGGTCGGGAGATACAGGACAAGGTGAAGCTCGGCGAGGAGCAACTAGCTGCGTTGAAAGAAACAATCGACTAGTCGTTAATCGATGATAACTTACACGCTAAGTTCTTATGAAATTAATTCGTAAATAACTATAACAATTTTTTTTTTTACCACGAGCGTGAACAACAAAAACAAGTTTCGAGATTACGAGACACATCTCGATTCGAAAAAATAATATAGTTAATAAAAGTAAACATTTACGATTAAATTTTATATATATATATATATAATATATATATATATATATATAGTCGAATCTCTCAAAACTTATACAGTCGGGACCGACGAGCCTCCCAAAAAACGTATACTTCCCCTATTCTCTCACTCTTTACCTCACGCATGCGCAAAGACTTACTTGAAATAAATTCATCTCGCTCTAGCGCAGTTTTGGTTGTAATCATACTTAGTGGTGGGAAAAGCGATGAAGGGGAAAATATACGTTTTGAAAATGGATTTGTATACGTTTTGGGAGGTTCGACTGTATATAGAAATTTGATCTATTATTTTTAAAAATCCGAAAATATATCAAACAACTATGATGCATGATTTTACACAGTAATGTTAAAAACAAATGCGTGAAATATTTTTTTGCATGTAAAAAATATTGCGATCGCGAGCTGAATTTCATTGTTTACACAGGTTAAACTTGATAAACTTGATGTGTGTGATCCCGAAACCTTAATTACCTAGTCTCTGTTAAGCTTGCATCGATTTTGTCGTGTTTCTCTCCCCAGTGATAGAGAAAACAGTATCGCTTTGTGTATTATCATGTGACATATTAAGTAAAATCGTCACACATGGCGTTACGGTACAAAATGAAGACCAAGAATGTATGAGTTTTTATTTTCAGATTTTTCTCCTGTTGAAGAAAACTGAGAAAGTAGGCGCTTAAACGATTAAGAGAAATATTACTTGTAAATACATAACAAATTTCCAGAAACAATTGTAGCAGACTTGGGATAGAAAAGCCAGAACGTGCGCAACCGGAAATGATAAAAAAACAATTTGAATGTGCGAATTTTATAAATGTTTTGTCGTGGTAATACGACTTTACACATGTATATATATATAGATATATAAAATACGTTAAGCTTATATATTTTCGTGTACTGATCGATCTAATGATCACTTTAATGACTATCTTGCGCAGAGCATATTTGGACATATCCAAATCAAAAAAAATTTTAATATATTTTCTATATATATATATATATATATATATTCTGAATGCCTTGTATGTGCGTGTTTGTAATTTTATACATGAGTCGTATATTTAGGGACGTGTTGGTAGCGCTGTGCAGTTCATCTCCAGTGTAATATCCGTTCTTACGTACGCAAATATAGACATTTAAGGTCGATGACCATCTGTCGCGAGTGTTCGGAATGGCCTTTGCGTAAAAAGAAAGGACAAAGCACGTTACCTGGTTAGCATGTTAATTCGATGTTTGCGTAAACGCAAATTGCCAGATTCTCAAGCTAAGATTTTTTACTTGTGGTGCCTTCTTATATACAGAAAATGTGATATAAGAATAAGGGGAGTTCACGTTCTGTGCGCGGCATCCGAACAACTGAACGATGCAGGCAATTGAAACGATGTTGTATGTATTTGTATATATGATAAGTAGATTATAAGTGCATACATCTCCACATTGACACGTGACACTTGGTTTGTTTTTTATTCCTGAACTATGTTAAGTAAAAGATAGCTCGATGGATTGATAGTAACGCTAGGATTGCAAAATCGGATTTGAATCATGCCTCACTTCTTTGATAGTTTCGAGTCCATCCTATTAAAAATTGTAGGTCCACGAAAAGGAATAGAAATTGATGAATCGGCCCATCAATCTCGCAGCTTTAGTGTAAGGACTGCAAAGTTAAGTTTGCCTAACATTTTAGGTTTTTTTTTCCGAGCCGATCTCCTTTCTATCGATTGCAGAGACCGCTCGTATATCGGATAAAAAGCGAAACTATCTTCAAATAAGTATTGCAAAAATTATCAGTTACATATTATAACAATCAGCAATAGTGGCTCAAATTCCATTTAATGTATTTAGACAATTGCAGAATGACGTATTGCTAGAGCCCGAGAGTCAAAAACTTTTTTTTAAAGTGTAAACTCAACTAAATTTCAAACTCAACTCACAGAAATTGGCAAAGATAATGTAAGAAATTGTAATCCTAAAAAGAACCAATAAAATATTTATTTCTCAGTCAATTATATTTATAACTCAGACAATCAAAGTTACAAACGTAGATTTTTCTTAAGATATTCATAACTTTTGTCACAAGAAAATTATGTTTAATAAAATTTAGCAGATAAAAATAACAGAAAGTTTGTTAGCATAATATAATAGCTTGATGTTAAAACATTAAAGCAAAAATTTGCTGACAGATTTTTTAATACAAATTGATGACAGAAATTGAACAGATCTGTTAACAATTTGACTTGATAATAAAAAAAACCGAAGATCTGTGCATTGCATCTGTTGGTAGGTTGGAAGCAAATTACGAGCAAAATACGGAGCAAAATCTGCTGGTTTATTTCTTATGAGTAAGATTATGTAGTCATCGCGTGGAGCTTTGTTGATATTTTTCATCAATATATGTTGTTTAATATCCAGAGTTTGTTTCTTCAGAAAACATAAATTATAAATAAAAAATAAATAGTGCGTATTCTTTTATATTATCTTTTTAAAATAAAAACGAACACAAAGGGAAAAATAAAAAAAAGTGTAAAGTGTATCTTCTTTAAAAAAAAAAAATCCCAGTTGATATTATTAATATTATATTTAAATTACAGAGAAAACGTGCTCGTATAATCTGTTGCAAATCTGTCATCAGATTGTGATGTGCAAGGTTTGCATCTTCTCAATTTTCTAAGCTCGACAGATCTTGCATCTGTCATTTACTATGTCAGATTCGATGTTTCAATTCGATGTCAGAGTTTTCTAGCAGTATCTGTTTTCAAAACACAAGTTTTTTGCCGACACAAATAGGGCTGGTTTTACTATCTAAATTATGGTCGAACTTTGTGCCAATCTGTTTTTCACGCTGCTAACAATTTACTGGATATTTATCTATTCCTCTGTATTTGAAAAAAATAGTCATATGCAACAACCTATACAACATCGAAATTGATTACATTTCCATCGAGTATTCTTTCGTATATTCAATATCCAATAGATATTCAATAGAGACTATTCCTAAGAGATAGTGTGCTGTATAAGAATTGTCGTGGAAATAAAAAAAAGATTAGTACAGGAACAAAGTACAAACCTAATCATATTCATTCATACACATACATTTATTTACGCACACTTATACAACGAAATACTATTTTTATGTATTTTATTCTAACCCCTCAGGGGTTTTTGTGGACCCCTATGACGCTTGTGATCTTATTTACGACCCCACCAAGGACTCTCGAAGGTACCGCGAAATGGTCGTATTCGAGCCTCCATGGTGGTCCAGCGAGAAATTTTATGCCACTATCACTTCGACAAATCCTCATTTCAATCTTTTTTTTTTTTTTTTTTTTGTCCCGTTTTATGTCCCCGTGTTCACACGATTGCTTCCTCCCCGCTCATCGTTGCGCTCCAACCATCGAGGGCGGAGAAGAGACTGCAAGCAAAATTGTACTTGAAAAGATAGACCTCCGAATCTTTGATCTCGATAATGAGACACTTATCGGAAATCCAAAGATTTCGAGACGGAATCTATTCTAACGATTTCCACGAGAAGAAGAAACACAATGAAAAATATCGATTTTATTCGATTCTCTTATCTACGAAATACCTAAACGTTCTTTCGATTCCCATTTAATCTGAGCAAAATAGAACAACGCAGACAAAATAACGAGGGGTCACAAATAATCGGGACCACGATAATAATAATAATAATAATAATAATTGCGTCTGAAAAAGACTGAGTACAGGGCATAAAATTTTTGCGGCATAATATAGTCAGTTTCTGTTCCTTGATTACTTCTCGATGTTCGCAAATCGGCTGCTGCGGATATTATACTCTTAATGCCCATTAATCGGAAGTATAATAGCATAGCTGCTGTCGTATAATGTAATTGCGAGTAGCATTCGTCACGCGGCAGTGATATCAAATATGTAATTGTCGTCTTTTTGTCACTCACTTGCCGCGGATAAGGCGCACTTGTACATAACAAAGTAATTGAAACATGGTGCTCTGGATATTTTGTGCGAGAAGAAACGTTCCATTACTTCGTAAGATATTCTTATGATTAAAGACACTAATATTTAACGTTCTCGCTGTGTATATATATTATCACACTACTACACACACACACACACACCAGATACATACATACATACCATATATACACATACATGTATAAAATTTATGTGATGTGAGGATACAACATAATGATTATATGTTTGCGCGTCATTTGTAAGCAACAACGCTAGATCGTTGTTAGTCCAACAATATTATCCCATACAATTGTACTATGAAATCATTACGATAAATACATTTCTCAAACCCGCTTGCAATAAATAACATGTTGAAATTCAGCAGAAGTGTTTATATTTCCTTGGGAAATATATTTGATAAAAAACTTTCAATAATTACATGAAACGCGCAACTTACGTAGAATATATTTTTTTCTACAACTATTTGTTTATGATAACGCAAGTTGCGTTCGTAAATTAAAACGTTAATCTTTCGTGGACAGACCTCAAAAATGACGACTACTACAACCCTGATACGAAAACATTTACAAAATTATGTGACGAATTCTTGCACTAAAATTGTAATTTGCAATTATATCCAGCAAACAATTTGGTTGTGGGATGGTGTGGATTTGTCAAAAATCGCCGGCGGAATTTAATGCCAAAACCATAGCCTACTGTGTCCTCAGTAGGATATGGTTTGGCGATTGAATCTTTCCAACATGTAAATATGCCAAAACGAGACCAAAATCGTAACAGATCTGTCACTAGCAAAGCGAAGCCAAAGTGAGGCACCAAATCCACAACAGGTTTGGTCATCGTCTGTTGGCGCCAAAATATCGCCAAATATAGAACATATCTGTTATCAAAACTGTCAACAGAACATTAGCAAATACAGAGCAGATCTGTCGTCAGAAACATCAACAGATTGCTACCAAACGCAGACCAGATCTGTTGCCTAGAATGGATTTCACTTGGAAGTGGGATTACTTATGTTACGTCCTGGAGACTCCACGGTCCCCTTTTTTCCTGCGACGCGACGCGCCAGCGCATAGCAACCCTTTTTTTTTGGTCAATAATAATAAATAATTCAAACGGGTCTCCTATCGTTTGGAAACTTAAAACTCCAGACGATAGGAGAACAAACGAAAATTATATCGGCGCCCGGAAAGATAAACTGCGCCTAGTAATAACACGAAATTTTAGATAACTTCGAGCAGCTTTCCAAACAAACCCGGATATCTCCGGGTCATGAAAATGCTGGTCATAAAAATTAGAGCGACCGACGCAAATAGAAACTCCGGCATTTTTATTACAAACAAACAAGGGGTCTATTCTGCGTGATCGCAAAAGACAACACTCTCCCTTTTTCTTTCCCCGGAAAATCGGACGAGGCGACCGAAGCGAGAGATCGTCGCCGATTGGCGATCTCGGAAGTCGCCCGACCGACTAATTAACAAATAGGAACCAGCAAAGCTCAACTGAGTTCCCGATTAGAAGAGTCCTTACTAAAACAGTATATAAGCCAAGGCTCTCGGAATCGGAAACTCAGAAAGAACCGCGCCGCGTATCCGAAAAGAGCCGCAGATCAGTGAGTGAATAAGTGAGTGAGTGCGGAGAGCGAGATCACAGAGGCATCAACACCAGCGACCTGCAACTCCGAGCCATTACAGTGTCGCACCGGCCTCAACCGAGAATCAACAAGAAACAGCAAGTAGTAAGTCCACCCACAAATATTAATCGGGGGAGTTCCACTAGTTAAAAATCCAACTCGAGGTTAATACTCGGAACCTCAGAGACGCATAACTGCCTAAAAGCATCGCGAGAGTATATTATTTTTTTTGTTGTTGTTTCTCCGCAATCAATTCCTCACCCTCGCCGGGAGGGCAGTTCGCGACTCTAAATCGTGAATAGCAACCGGCCGAGAAGCCAATTCCTCACCCTCGCCGGGAGGGCAATTCGCGACTCTAAGTCGTGAATAGCAACCGGCCGAGAAGTCAATTCCTCGCTTAACCACCCTCGCCGGGAGGACAGTTCGCGACTCTGGTCCTGAATAGCAACCGGCAGAGAGAGAGAGAATTAGCCCTTTCCCCCTTTCCTTTTTTTTGACAACATAAGTTTTTTGAAGACAAAAAACGGTTTATGACTCGGGACCGTTAAATCTGCATGTTCGTGGGGGGTAACAAGAGCGTGCCGATGAGAACATAATTTTTTTTTGAAGACAAAAAACGGTTTATGACTCGGGGCCGTTAAACCTGCACGTACTTGTTCGCGCGAGAAAATTCTACGAGAGTTTTCGATAGATATTCAATGTAGAATAAAATGTTTATAAAAATGCCCATTTAAAGAATTGTTTATTGTTTTTCATACGCATATGCACTCATGTGTGGGTAGCTACGACACGAGATAAATGTAAAATAAAAACTATGTGTCGTACACGGATGATATATAGAAATAATTTGTAACTTTTGAAAATAATTGTTAATCTACCGTTTAAACAAAAGTGGTGGTGGTGGTGGTAAAATAAGTTGATGCTCATGCGCACAAGAGGGTAAAATTGCTATAAATAGAGCGATGTAAATACATTTTGATCATTATTCTGTTGCAAACAGTTGCGGCTGTGCGCTTGAAATATCTTTTTACGCGGTAAATATTGGTTTAAAAGTGCGTAAAGTGAAAAGTGCAAAAAAATGGCGGTGAATATTGAAAAAGAGCAAGTTGAATCCAGCGTAAAATCGTGCATGGGAATCATCAAGAAGCAAAATGAGAGGCATGAGATGCTGCTTTCCACCGTGTATGGATTAAATAATTCTCATACAAAGAGAATTCAAATAGGATTGCTCCCTGATGTAAAGAACGGATTTTTTTATCCTGCTATTAAATTATGAGGAAATGGAACAAATATCATATGGCTCGATGCTGACGCGTGGAAAAAATTGCAAGATACCATGCCGTTAATAAGTCTGTACTTGGACGGAGGGAAATACAAGACAGAGCCGATTGTAATAAATAATTTGAATTAATCTTTGGATAACGGGCTTCTCGAACCGATTGCAAGGTGTTATGCATTAAAAATCAAATATTTTTTTGTTCCAAACGTTTCGACTTTATTTCAAGTCATCTTCAGTGGTTAATCTGGTATATACAATATTAATTAC